CAAAGCTACCAGACACCAGTGAGTGAGTGGTGGCACTGGGCAAGTGGGCACAGTATACGCCAAGTAGCCTGACACACAGACGCTTGCAGACAACTAACTGCTATTCAATCTATAACAGTGAAAAAAGTTTTTTGGTTTTAAATGCAAGCTATTGTGACACCAGTGAGTGAGTGGTGGCACTGGGCACAGTATCCACTGTGAGCCTGACACACCCGCTTGGAGACAACTAACTGCTATTCAATCTATAACAGTGAAAAAAGTTTTTTGTTTTTAAATGCAAGCTATTGTGACACCAGTGAGTGAGTGGTGGCACTGGGCACAGTATCCACTGTGAGCCCGACACACCCGCTTTAAGGACACTGACTGCTATTCAATCTATAACAGTGAAAAAAGTTTTTTGTTTTTAAATGCAAGCTATTGTGACACCAGTGAGTGAGTGGTGGCACCGGGCACAGTATCCACTGTGAGCCTGACACACCCACTTTGAGACAACTAACTGCTATTCAATCTATAACAGTGAAAAACGTTTTTTGGTTTTTAAATGCACGCTATTGTGACACCAGTGAGTGAGTGGTGGCACTGGGCAAGTGGGCACAGTATACGCTGCGAGCCTGACACACAGACGCTTGCAGACAACTAACTGCTATTCAATCTATAACAATGAAAAAAGTTTTTTGGTTTTAACTGCAAGCTATTGTGACACCAGTGAGTGAGTGGTGGCACTGGGCACAGTATCCACTGTGAGCCTGACACACCCGCTTTGAGACAACTAACTGCTATTCAATCTATAACAGTGAAAAAAGTTTTTGGGTTTTTAAATGCACGCTATTGTGACACCAGTGAGTGAGTGGTGGCACTTGGCAAGTGGGCACAGTATCCACTGTGAGCCTGACACACAGGCTGGCAGGCAGGCAACTGGAATTACATTACAGAAAAAAAAGCAGACTGATGTTCTAGCCCTAAAAAGGGCTTTTGGGGGTGCTGTCCTTACAACAGAGATCAGATGAGTCCTTCAGGACTGTAGTGGACACTGTATACACTAACCTAGCTATCCATTTCCCTATCAAATCAACAGCAGCTACACTTTCCCTCCTCTCACTAAGCATGCAGCTTGAGAATGAATCTAAAATGGATGCTGTCCAGTAGGTGGGAGGGTCTGCTAGGGAGGGTGTGCTGCTAATTGGCTGGAATGTGTCTTCTGACTGTGAGGTACAGGGTCAAAGTTTACTCAATGATGACGAATAGGTGGCGGATCGAACAGCGCATATGTTCGCCCGCCGTGGCGAACGCGAACACGCTATGTTCGCCAGGAACTATTCGCCAGCGAACCGTTCGGTAAATCACTACTTGTGAGTACAAACGTACACAACCCTTCTAGCTATATAGTGGTTTTAGAAAATATGTACACCATTCTGTAAAACCATAAATCTATGGTGCACATGAAAATTATAACTGTACACGTATAGCTTTCTTTATATCCTGAATAAAATAATACAGGGAGTGCAGAATTATTAGGCAAGTTGTATTTTTGAGGATTAATTTTATTATTGAACAACAACCATGTTCTCAATGAACCCAAAAACTCATTAATATCAAAGCTGAATATTTTTGGAAGTAGTTTTTAGTTTGTTTTTAGTTATAGCTATGTTAGGGGGATATCTGTGTGTGTAGGTGACTATTACTGTGCATAATTATTAGGCAACTTAACAAAAAACAAATATATACCCATTTCAATTATTTATTATTACTAGTGAAACCAATATAACATCTCAACATTCACAAATATACATTTCTGACATTCAAAAACAAAACAAAAACAAATCAGTGACCAATATAGCCACCTTTCTTTGCAAGGACACTCAAAAAGCCTGCCATCCATGGATTCTGTCAGTGTTTTGATCTGTTCACCATCAACATTGCGTGCAGCAGCAGCAACCACAGCCTCCCAGACACTGTTCAGAGAGGTGTACTGTTTTCCCTCCTTGTAAATCTCACATTTGATGATGGACCACAGGTTCTCAATGGGGTTCAGATCAGGTGAACAAGGAGGCCATGTCATTAGATTTTCTTCTTATACCCTTTCTTGCCAGCCACGCTGTGGAGTACTTGGACGCGTGTGATGGAGCATTGTCCTGCATGAAAATCATGTTTTTCTTGAAGGATGCAGACTTCTTCCTGTACCACTGCTTGAAGAAGGTGTCTTCCAGGAACTGGCAGTAGGACTGGGAGTTGAGCTTGACTCCATCCTCAACCCGAAAAGGCCCCACAAGCTCATCTTTGATGATACCAGCCCAAACCAGTACTCCACCTCCACCTTGCTGGCGTCTGAGTCGGACTGGAGCTCTCTGCCCTTTACCAATCCAGCCACGGGCCCATCCATCTGGCCCATCAAGACTCACTCTCATTTCATCAGTCCATAAAACCTTAGAAAAATCAGTCTTGAGATATTTCTTGGCCCAGTCTTGACGTTTCAGCTTGTGTGTCTTGTTCAGTGGTGGTCGTCTTTCAGCCTTTCTTACCTTGGCCATGTCTCTGAGTATTGCACACCTTGTGCTTTTGGGCACTCCAGTGATGTTGCAGCTCTGAAATATGGCCAAACTGGTGGCAAGTGGCATCGTGGCAGCTGCACGCTTGACTTTTCTCAGTTCATGGGCAGTTATTTTGCGCCTTGGTTTTTCCACACGCTTCTTGCGACCCTGTTGACTATTTTGAATGAAACGCTTGATTGTTCGATGATCACGCTTCAGAAGCTTTGCAATTTTAAGAGTGCTGCATCCCTCTGCAAGATATCTCACTATTTTTGACTTTTCTGAGCCTGTCAAGTCCTTCTTTTGACCCATTTTGCCAAAGGAAAGGAAGTTGCCTAATAATTATGCACACCTGATATAGGGTGTTGATGTCATTAGACCACACCCCTTCTCATTACAGAGATGCACATCACCTAATATGCTTAATTGGTAGTAGGCTTTCGAGCCTATACAGCTTGGAGTAAGACAACATGCATAAAGAGGATGATGTGGTCAAAATACTCATTTGCCTAATAATTCTGCACTCCCTGTACAACAAATCTAATGCAACACAATTTAAATAATAACCCCATTAAGTACCCTCTGGAGACTAACTCACAAAATATGAGTGGCTCTGTGCCACTCGAACAGCCAGACAATCGTTTGTGAGCGCTGGATCCAAAGTAAGCCGCAAACTCTTCAATTAATAAGGACAACAGGATCTCAAGACTCTAATAATAAAATTTTTACTTCCATTAAAAAAATAAAATAATTTAATAACCACCTGGTGTGTATAATAGAAGCCAATAACCGTGCTTTGCAATTGTCCATAATGCAGGAGATCACTAAGTGCCAAACTTTCAAACATGGCAAAAAGCAACAAAGTTTCAGTTGTGGCTCTTACTATCTGCATCTCTGCAGACCAGGCTACTTGTTGTCTGACCCTGACGTCACCAGGGTGCACTTCGTCCCTCATCCTGAGGCTTTTTTAAGTGCACCTGTGAGTCCATCATTGTCTCTATTTATCCCAGAGTCCTATAACATGATATTGTCCAATAAAGTGCAAAATCTAATCTAACAGTTTAAATGTATATTAAAATATAGCTGTGGAGCAAACTAATTTAATAAATATTCAATATACAAACATATCTTATCAAAATCAATATTTGGATCAACAGCAAAAACATATGTGAGGAAGGCTGAACTTGATGGACGCAAGTATCTTTTCCGCTATGTAACGATATTGCTATTAGCGGTGCAAATCACCTAAATGTCTAAATATAAACTTCTTATTCTATAAAAAGACATACAAATCTTTATAAATGAAACACCACCAAAATATATCTAATACAGAATATTGTGCAATTAACAGCAAAAAATTTGCGTTTTCTAAAAAAAATAAAAATTGCCAAAATCAAAATAAATCAATCTCTTCTTATTGATGCTCTATTAAACATGTCATATATAGAGCTTTAAAACAGTTAGAAGATATACAATACAGAATAGTTTGCAGTTTATAACAGAAATGGGGAATTTTCAAAAAAAATGATTGCCTATATCTAATTAAATGAATCTCTGTTGATTAATCTGTTGAAGAATAGAGAGTGGATATTTAATAAAAATAAAAATCTAAAATATTTAAATATTTTAAAATATGTAAAATAGGGATATACATCAAATAAGAAGCTGCAAATATTTTAAAAAAGTGGAAATTTCATAAACAATTGTCATAAAATTCTAAATATCTAGAATATGTAACAATTATAAAACATTTTTTTAAATATGGGTAAAGGTCAACTAAGAAATAAAAAAAAAACATTGAAAAGGTCAAAATCAATGTTTAAACCTTTTTGTTTGAGGTAATATGCCAACTCCATTTATTACTGATCTAAGAGTTTTAAAAAAATCACCTCCTAACCAATGTTTTTGACCTATAAAGTCTAACTCCTTTAGGTCTGAATTGTTATTATTGCAAAATATATGCTCTCTAATTGAATATTCTCTACAAGTTATATTGGAATTATATATTTTCAGACTATGCTTAATTAGAAGACTATTTTTACAACATATACATTTATTGCACTTATAAAAACCTTTTAAATCATCCAAAAATTACTTTTATCTTATGTGCTCTCTCAAGTATGTTTTAACTAAATTATTCTTACAATTAAGGTGCACCCCTAAAGTTGATACATTACTCAAGTTATTAAAATTGGCCAATGTTTCCTAATAATGTCTTTCGTTTTACTATGGCCAATATTAATATCAAAGATTATAGGGTTATGATGACCAAGCTCTATGGTTTTGACTGTTTCTGTTCCAATATTTTTTTCTGTACTTACTTATTTATTGACTTTCTGACCATCTCAAGCAAAATGGCGCTCTACACCACTTACACATTTGATCAGCAATGGCACCTAATTTACCCCTGATGATAGAGGGTATACAGCGATTCAATCAGTGACTTGATGGGAGCCTGCTTACCCCTGGTAGGGACTTGCAGCCTGGTGCACTACTGGCCAAAGAAGCAGTCGATCTACGGACCCAAGTGTGCCCAGCAGCAGTTAAAGGCGCAAATGAGCCCCGTTATCTTCGTTGTGCTGGTGGTGGTGATCCTGGTACCCCCATGGGAGGCTACTCCGATATAGTTGGGGCATGTGGTAAAGTAACACGATCGGAGACACCATGCGATGACATCTCCAACATGGTGGATGCTGCGTATATCGGAGGTACCAGTGAGGAAAAGTTTGATGTCCTACCCAAACTGGACAGAACATTTGCCGATTTCTGGAGAAAGATGGAGCTCAGATTAAACCAACCTGGCCACCTGTACAAGAACTTAACAACACACTCTCCTGGAGACCTCGGAAGGCCCTAAGATGGCGCAGCACTAAATAAGGTGACGCGGAGACAGTCACTGTGGAGGTCTATAATTGCAGCATGGGAAGAGTCAGACAAACCAAGAGGAGTCCAGCCCTTGCTCTTCTTCAGAATGAGTCTGTCCACTCATGGACAGGGAAGCCTACAGTATTCCTCCCTGATGCAAGACTATATTCTGCCCACAGTGGGCATAGTTACATAGTTACATAGATGAAAAGAGACTTGTGCCCATCAAGTTCAGCCTTCCATAGGATGAAGCAATGCTGGGGCTGTATACCATTTTAACTCCTGTCAATATACCTGTTCCCATTTTACTCTTATGAGACTACTCTGTTCTGTTGTTATTTTGTTATTCATGTTTTTTAGCCCTATGTTCCTCATAACACTTATCTTCTTGTTTACTTTACCTTCATGGGGGCCTCCTAGGGGAACTATCCTAATAAATCAATCAATCAATCTCTTGTTCATTATCATTTACTCTATTATGAACAACTTGCTTACCACATGTTCATTCTTTGCTTAGTGACTCATCGAGCACTATATTTAACTGATCTTAAATTGGAAGACTTGGCCTGAAGTTGTGGGGGGGGGCTTATGGACCTTTAAAAGGGAATCCCCCCTTCCCTACCCTACCATGATTGGTCTGATGAGCTGCAGGCTGATGAGACTGTTTGGTTCAGTACAGAACCATCTACTTCCAGTTCAAAGGTCATCAACACAAACTGCCTAAACTCCAAACAAGCTGGTCTTGGCCTAGTGTGGCCCATGCAAGTATTTGTTTTATCTCACTCTAGTAAACAGCTGCCTCACTAGAAGCTCAATGGGCACTGCCCAGCCCAGCCTCAGCTTCTATAACTGTTGTTTTTTAAACAAACCGTAAATTTGTTTGTTCAGCCATTTGGATATGGCAAATTTTACTAGTAATGCAAATTCAACCTATTTTAATTGTACATAGCATGCCTAATTCTGCTTACTGTATTTGGCAGCGATGCCTCATTCTGCTTACTGTATTTGGCAGCGATGCCTCATTCTGCTTACTGTATTTGGCAGCGATGCCTCATTCTGCTTACTGTATTTGGTCCACACTAGGCCATATCGACATCATATGCATTTTAGTTAGTCACTCTGCAAGTTAATGTTTCACTCTACATCTTAAAGTTTTCTTTGTCTGTCCTAGGTATTCATGCAATTTTGAGCCTTCATTGTTTAGTAATTATCTGGCTAGTAGTTGCAACTGACTGTCTATATTTATGTCAGACTTAATCTTGGGCCCATACATGTGGAAGAGGAAATAAAATATAAACTTGTATATACATTCTCTGTACACATAAATGTAAAATTCCTTATTTTCTGTAAAGGGGAATATCTTCTAAATGTCTTAAATCTTCTTACTAACTGACCTCAAATTCATAAAACTGTATCATATGCATTTCAGTTAGTCACCATACATTTTAATGTTTGTCTGCCCTCTGTGTATTCAGGTACTCATTGAGCCAACATTGTTGGGTAATTAACTGTTTAATAGATATGTCCCAAGGGACTGCCTACATGCATTTAATTATGTAATTTTCATTGGGGTATAATCTAAAACAGCAAGCTAAACCTGCTGTTCTCTTGTCTGCTGCTTTTGCATTCCCTCACTTTCTAACACCACCCAGACTTTCTTTGTACGGTCTACATGCATTAGGAACATCATTCAGTCATGTTCAGTTTAAGCAATGAAGTTTTATATCTGATGCTAATACTACTGTGATATTCTAGCATTTCCTGTTGCTTTCAACCCTAATCTTCCCTGCCAGCTGTGTATGCATAAGTATTTATCATCCTCCTAAGTATTCCAGGTGTAGGTCTTTTTAATGTATGTCTTATTTCGTCTGTCTTTCCCTATGTATTATGTACGGTCATCACAGCCGCTAGCCTGTTCAGCCACTGTGGCATTCTAGAGTCCTCTGTTCCCTTTTTGATTCAGTCTTCCAATACCTTGTTTTATTGGGCTCAGTGCGTATGTATTATATGATGTTTTATAAGTGTTTATATACAGTTTCTGTTCTTTTCACCATTTCATAAACTAGATGATTATTCGTAACTATCGGGTTCTCTACCATCTCATCACCAACATGTCTTAGCTACATACACAAACTCCAAAACCATTCTCTGATTCACATCCTACCTTCACCCACATTAATCCCAACACAGCCCATACAGCCACCCTGAAACTCGGGATATGCATATTTCCTACTCCTGGCATCACTATGCCTTTACAACGTGTGTTCATATGCCCTATAATGGGCAACCTGCCAAAGGCTAATTCTGTACCTCGTTTGGGCATTTCATTGAAAACATTTATAGATTTTGGATTAAGAATATAATGTTTTGTTTTAGGTTCTGGGTAGTACTTTTATAGGCACCTAGCATACGGATATCATTATTTTACAGTTATGTAGCGGTAATATTTCCTCAATCTGATTATCATAATGCCACAAACAGGTATTACCTTCGATGTGGCATATTAGATGAGTTATGATAGACGATACGCCTTGGGCCACACTGTCTATATTTACATATGTATTTCTGCACAGTTTACGGTTTTGCTTACAAACATATTTATGTGTCATGTCTAATCATATTTTGAGATTTCCCTAAATATGATTGCATGGTTTAACACTACAGTACCCATCTGCGGATATTTGGTCCTGTGGCTTTCTGGGCATGAGGCCTGTACATGGGGGGGGTACGGTGGTACTCACAATGTCTTGCTAACATCCATTTCCTTATGTCTTATCAAATCATATTCTTTTACAGGTTATCAATTCAGAGCATCATTTGCTGTTCAGAACTCGCACCCGTTTGTCAGTTATGGTTCTTTTTGTAGGTTATAGACCTCTCCTTCCCCTCTCTGCCTCCTATAGGGGATACTGTAGATTTCAGTTACAGGTTACAACCATATCATACAGAACTACACGAACTCTTATACGAATTCAGGTACGTTTTTAGCCACGATGGCTCCCCTGCAATATAGACCTTTTTAATGAGTAGGTTTTATTGGCTCATAGGGATCTAGGTGAGTTAGTAGCCTTGGAGTTAGTGGTCACCCATCCTCCACACATGAGGTATTACTCTCTTGGGCTAGAACATAATTAGCCGCCTCGCACAGTGGCATAGAGAGGGCCTCACTTGTCACACCCAATCTATCTTATGATTTAAATGTCACCGAGAGGCCAACACCCCGCCACAATGTTCGGTGGCCACGAATCCCCTCGTGCCAAAGTATAGATAGAGCCTCTCAAGCCTCTTGGCAACCTGCAGGGCCTCACTTGTCACCAACCTAGTGAATTGCTTCACCACTTGGCACTAGCTAGTCAGCCAGTAAAACGATCCTGATCCAAGCTACTTATTAATATTTTGCAGTATATCTCAGATCCCTGTCAGAAGGTGATTACAGTACTCCAGTCTGGTCCACTACACCTACGTGAAAAGGTGACACCTATCATGTTCTATCAGGTCATGGACCATACCTTGTATTATGGCTGAGCTACGCAGATGCAACGTTCCTTTCCCAGCAACGGGCGGGAAAGCGGAACTGTTCAGGCTCATGCGTACCAATATGGACAATGCTGATGCTGGAGTAGACATGAGTTGCTCGAGCAACACCAACCTCCATGCAACGTTCTCAGCACTCGTATCCTCTAAGGGGTAAATAAATGAGAGACTGGGAAGACTAAAAATACGTTATTGAACCATGCCGTCAACCGGATGCTGACCCTCGCAAGGTCCTCCATATGCATATGATCATAACACAATTCAATTTTGAGCATGTGCGCCTGTATGTTCATATATCCAACGGGATATTGACTTTCTGTCATGCTATCTGACTTTCTGTCTGAAAGTTTGTACACTAATAGGTGAATTAGAATATAGATAAGTTACAATGCCACACCTATCAGATATATTGTGACATTATACAAAACAAGAGAAGAAAATTTTAATTTAATTAATCACCTTTTCTTTTTGTTTGGAAAAAGAATATTTTCCAGTATGTCAAATCTTGTACAAGTATCTACAAAAAATAATTAGGGAGAGGCGAAAATTGTGTGTTCATAAATCTTTCGGCTTCATTCCTCTCATGTACGGTTTTGCGGCAGTTCGATACAGTTAAAGTGTGAATCCATACATATTCTTTATAATCTGTTATCTGGAAATTCTGTCCACTCAAAGATTCCGTTTTCGAAAGTCCATATTGGTCCATATACATATATAAAAAAAAATAATAATAAAAGATGGAAAACAAAATATCAGTCCATGATAATATTGTCACAAGCTTGTGTGTTAATCCTTTTTTTCTTGCCTATATAGTGATACATTCTATTTCGTAGGATACAATTTTGCAATAACTTAATAATCAGAAGGAATATATTCTAGATCGAAAATAAATTACAGACCTCAAAACACAACATTATCCTTCATAATTGGAACAGAATATTATATTTGTTAATTACAGATCCCTAGATAATAAAGACATCAATTTAGTGAATGGCTGTAAATGATAGTTTCCAAGTGACAAATTAACTGTGACCCTCTATATTATAATACATTCCGGAGTGCAACATTGGAGATCTAATATGGTTTTAAGAATTATGATTTATAACATAAAAATACACAACATAAAAATGCTCATTTATTTTCATAGATACGTATTATTTAATATATATATTTATAAAGCTATATCTATCTGAAAAATGTAATTACTCGCTCTAGGTTTAAATCTAATTATGCAACTTCATACTATCAACCGGCTTTTATAGATTTAGATAAATCCTTAGCGTTTAATACATCAGATGTTGATGATCCTCTAATTTGACTTGTGCTAAAACAACTTAAAATTCATGATATTTTATCGAGGAGCTACTAAGCTTTATCTAGTTATTGTGTCATATCAAAAATGTAAATGAATATAGGTAAAGGAAAATGTATAAAATGGGGAACATATATATATTTAAT